GTCCTGTTGCACTGCTACAATTATATGTGGCTTCCTGAGGATGCAGCTTGTTTCTAAGGTGATGTTTTGCGAGAAAAATAAAAGAGTTTAATTATGGTTTTCTGAGAAATGTGGTGTCTGTGTAACCTCAGAGTGAGACAAGCGTGTTCAGAAAGGAGACTTTCCTATGTAAAGGACCCATAGAAACACTCTACAACCTGTTTGCTTGCTTATTTTTAGCCAGAGAAGCAGTGGTGGAGAAGGTGTTCAAGGTGCACATTTAGGAGGAGGGAGAGGAGGCTGCTGCTTCCCCTGCTGCTGTCCAAGAGGATACTCTACTCCTGTTACAGGTAACAGAGTCGCTGCCACCTTCCCTCTGTGCACGGGGGCAGAAGCTGCCCCTGGACACCATTACTCAAATGCTGCCACCTCCCAGCAGCGTCCCCAGTTTCAGTGAAATTGGTCTGCTTGTGGAGAGCTCTTCAGTGTGATGACACACGGTCCCTTTGGGGCAGAGCTCATGGGCACAGAACTTCATGTCAAAAGTCTGAGTTTGGGAACAAACGTTGTCACCGTAGGAAGGAGCCAGAGTGGAATCCAGCAATCTCCAAACTTCTCCTTGCCTGCAGCGTATTGTCATCCCTAATTATGAAATGCAGAATATGTATGAAATGTCTCACCTCTCTGAACATGAAAGCCTTTGCAGAGCCTTGCTAACGCTTCCCACTGCTAAGCCAGGCTTTCAAGGTTCTCCCTGCTTTGGCTAGGCCTCGCACTGTGCTTCATTTCAGTGTGTCCCAAGCCAACAGTTTTCATTTTGTGCTTTTACCATGTGTGGTTTTTTGGGTTTTTTTTCTTCATTCTTCCTTCTCTCATCAACCAATACTGACTGAGAAAAGGGACACGGTGTGATCCTGAACACACCAAGGATGGCACTCGTTCCCCGTTGACCAGCATGGGGAGACTGAGCTCAGTTGGGTCAGGAGTTTGTATGGGGCCAGCCAGGTTCCAAGCAGGAGACTGCAAAGCCCTACAGGTGCTCACCCACCTCACCGTGCTGCTCCCAGCACCCCAGCAGTCCTGAGCCTTCCTCCAGGCTGGGGACAAAGCGCAGCCCATCGGTGTAACATGGGGCCAGAGGGGGGTTCCAATCCAGCAGCAGAAAGGGACAAAGTCACGAGAACAAAACCCACTTTGTGAATACAGAATTGAGGGCACCTCCTGTTGGGTTGTAGTGAGTCATGCTAAAGGCTGTAGGAGGGAATAAATCAGTCCGAAAGTATTTAATTTCTCAAGTGAGTGCAACTCTTGAGAACCAAAATGCTTCTCCTTTCCTCCCAGGCAATTACCAAACAGAACGCTGATTTTACTGCAGCACTTTTCTGACTGCTTAAGAAAGATGTTAAAAGGACTCAAGCAAAGCATTAATTGTATTTTTGCAGAGAGAGAGAAAAATTAATAATATTTATTAGATTAAGATAAGAACAAAACCCACCTGACTCTGTGATTACTGCTTGGCAGAGCAATCAGGTCTAAGCCAAATGTCAGCTTAGAAAACAGAAGAGAAACCCCTGAGGATGAAAATGACTCAGAGAGGGCAAAGCAGAGAGCAAGTTTGGGAAGAAGTGATCTTGTGCATGAAGGGAGAGCACCTGAGCTCCTGGCTCACTGTTAAATACGAGTCAATGGAGACTATTGGTCAATTCACACTAACAGCAGCCATGGCCATCAGCACATCAGTGAGACTCCAGGACATTGCAGTGCTGCTGGCATGAAGTGGGCATGGGAACCTTACGAACAGTGATGAATAACGTGATGATGTTTTTTCAGCTTCATCTTTATTAGCAGGGGGGTCTGGGTTAACGGGGTGGTTAGGGAAAGGAGGAGGAGATTGTTAACAGGAAAAAGAAAGTCTTAGAGGTGGTGGGCTCACCTGAAGCTAAGCCCAGCTGGTTTGCTCTTAAACTTCAGAGCCAAAGTGCAGAAAGCTGTAGCTGAGGCAGCAACTCTGCCCTTATTTACACCTGAGCAGCCCTCTGCTCTGAGCTGCCTTTATCTGTGTACCTCCCCTAATTCAGCTAGAACTTAGCTACCTGTTTGCAGTTCATTTGTGCTCAACACCCCCTTAACAAGCCAGGGCTCTGGACATGGGGCCAAACTGTAGCTCTGCACCCAGACCAGGAGGAGCTGCATGGTGGTGTGGCTGAGCTCCACCAGCAGTGCACTGGCAGAGCGGTTGGATGCAGCGCTGAGGTATGTGTGCGTGCTGCGGGGTTTGGGCTGGAGAGCTCAGGAGTTAGATTGGCTCACTGAGGTGTTCAGTGGAAGCATGGCCTCGTGTGACTGTTGGCTTTCAGGCAGGTTGGTTCTGGTGGTGGCGACAAGCAGGACCTGGTTGTCCTGCAGCCTGAAGTTGGGTCTGTAACGGCGGCACTATGGAGCCTTCCTTGAGCTCCTCTGCAAATGTGGGTTTGCCTTCCCTGCTGCTTCTCCTTCTGGCTCCTTGTCCTTCCCAGCAATGGAAGCTCACATCCTGTGCTCCATCAGGCCGGACTCCTTGCCCTGCAGCCAAAGCACCCTGAGTGTGGAAGCTTTGGGAGAGGGAAAAGCAGAACAGGGACCTCAATGTGGAGGGCACAGCTGAGCAGTCAGACACCAGGCACCCTGTGCCCTGCTGCTGAGGTCGCTGATCAGGGGAGAAAGCAACAGAACCTCTCTGTTATGTTAGTTTATGTCCTCCATCAGCATGGTGAGGGGACTGGAGCAGCTCTGAGCTCTCCATTTTGGTGTAGCATCGCCTGCATTCAGACAGAACAGTAAAACAGCAGCTAAAACCATTTCTGGTGGTTTCCTTCCATTTGTGTGTCTCTCAGTGTGTTGGCAAAGCAGCTCTCAGCCTTCACCTGCTCCCCATGCCCCGGTTGAGGCTATGGGGCCAGGAGGGGTCGGCAGTCAGGAATGGATCTGGGGGTCGTGGGTCTGCACGGGGGCTGTTAAGATTCCCCACAGCCGATGCCTCTCTCAGAGCAGAGCCCAACGCGCACAGCACCTCTCCCAACCCTTTTCTCTTTGGGAGCTGCCTTTGTTTGGCTGCCGGGAGGTCCCTCGAACCCACCACCCTTCCAGATGCGAAAAGGCAAATTGGGATACCGCAATTAGCGACGTGTAACGAAGCCTTGTACTTCGTTAATGTCGGAGGAGGAATCAGCCGCGGCTACAAGGACAATTAAATCTTAGATAGCTCCTTTGATTCGCGTTCCTGCTGTGCGGATGGGAGGAAGGCTGCCTGCCCGCTCCTCGCCTTCCCTTACGCCCCGCGGAAAGCACACCCACTGCAAGTTGTCCTTTGATCGATTTTTAATATGATTTTAAAGAGTTTTGTTTGGGCCTCATTCTTATTCAATGAGATTAATTTAAAGCACTTATCCCCTGGGTTTAAGTCAATCCATGTCGGATTGGGGACGGGGTTTGTTGCCCGCGGAGGGGGCTGTTTGCAGGGCGCTCTGAAAGACTCCTTTCCCACTTCATTAACCCGGAGCTGGGAGAAACCCCCCCCCTGCCCTCTCAACCCCCCCAATTCTTCCTCCTCGCCGAGGTTCGGGGATTTACCAAACTCCCCCATTCACATGCAAAGGATCCGCTCCGGCCACAAAAGCCGGGGCTCTCCGCTCGGAGCGTGGCCGCGCATTTCTCGGAGCCCCCAACCCAAAGCTCCGGGGACGGGGCGGGGAGAGGCGCGGAGTTTTGCTCTGATTCGGGGGGGAGGCGGGGGGGGTTCGGGGCCGACCGCAGCCCGCAGCCCATCTGTCGGCTCCCGGAGCCCGAGAGCCGCTGCCCGGCTGTCCCGGAGCAGCTGCCTGGCCCACGGCCTCAACCATCTGAGCGACACTTTTCAAGGGTGGAAACAATCCATTTTCCAAAGCGATCATTTAAAGCACTTAGGCAATTATACGCTTAAGATTAGCGTTAATAATTCACCGGGCGGATGCCGGCAGTGGGAGCGAACCCCGCTTTCCCCCGAGGGGGGGGGGGGGGGGGGCAGAAAGCCCGGCGCAGGCAGGAGCCGTTCGTGTGTAAAGAAGTTTATTTTCACATTTAAAAAAGGGGGGGACGGAAGCGGGAGCTGCCCCCGAGCTCCCCCCGCCCCGGCCGGGCCGGCCCCGGGATACAGACGGACAAAGCATCACTTACACAAATACGCCCTCAGGGTTCACAAATAAATAATTCATATACATTTTGCGCACCGTATTTACATTCGCCGCTTTTTGTTTCTTTTTTTTTTGTTTCTTTTTTTTTTTTTTTTTTTTTTTTTTTTTT